TACGATTTCCGTCAGTGTCGCGCCGACTCCACCTGTACACGCGGCCTTCAGACTACACAAGCGCGCTAGCCCTTCTATAAGGGTAGGCCGCAGAAAGTGCCGACGCCCCGTCCTTCTAAGGATAAGGTAGTCAGGCTGTTGGAATTACGAACGAAAGCCACGCGACACCGTAGTATTTAAGATCCATTCTGTTCAGCTTAGAATAACTATGGTTTACTTGCATGCGAATACCGCGATCGCAGAACACGTCCGCATGAGCCGCGCTCGCTTCCCGAGCTCCACGCGCACCAGCCACACGCGAAACTCTGTACGCGAATTTCTGTACGCACCGCTCCCGCATGTTGCATTGTACATATAATATAGCTCAGTGTTAGATGTTGATAATCGCTTAAATAACATAATTGTTTAACCGCTTATACCGAGGTAAAGTAAGTTGGAGTTTCCCCTTTCTCCCGAATCCTGGTACCGGCGAGCCTTGATCCACGGCGTACGGGAAAGGTGAACCGTTACAAATTATAGCTACGCAGACAAATATATAAACTGTATAGCCATAATTATAGCTACGTAGACAAATATATAAACTGTGTAGGCATAATTATAGCTACGCAGACAATTATATAAACTGCAAATCCATAATTATAGCTACGCAGACAAATATATAAACTGCAAAGCCATAATTATAACTACGCAAACAAATATATAAAATGCAAAGCCATAAAAAGTGAAACACTAATAAATAACACCATAGAGAAGCCTTCTCTCTCACAATACTAATTATGGACACTTTTATATATGGCAGGTTGAGGTTATGTGTAATGTTTATTCCCACCATTATCACTTGGAGATGTCCTCAGTCTTCTTCTTCTTCTTTGTGGTATTGGCTCCGACGAATACTCGTCACACGGCCATCAACTGGTATTTTGAGATGGAGATCTTAAAAGGTTCAAATATTAGTGGAGGAGTTCAGGAAACTAGTACTTAGATTGGATAAAGAGAGCGCAGGGAAAAGAAGTAAGAAAGCACGGGAGCGTGTTCGGTAGGGTCAAACCTGAATCCTGCATGCTTTAAGGAAAGAGT